TGACTCAATGTTTTGCAAGCAAATTGGAAACCGAAATCTTAAACAAAAATAGACTAACCCTCTAACTGCATAACTGCAATATAATTCTAATTTATTAAAATCAACATTAACTGTATATATTTATTGAACAAATACCACAAAAAGGGTCAAGCCTTAGTCTGTTTCAAAAGATACGGATGAAAGAAAAACTGAGTAAAAATAACTTTGTAAAAGTAATTAAGGTGGTTAAGGTGTCCTAAATAGTTTCAGACTATGAGCTCATAACACATGAACGGACTGCTTTTGTTTTTGATCCATGATAAGGAAACCTAAACCGCATGTTTGGGCATGATCGCAGTCGTACGAATAACCAACTCATTGTCGCTATAAGCACAAACACTCTAAATGACAACCAATGAGTAGTGACAGTGAATGTGAAACAAAAACGGAAAGTTTGCAACTCTCTAAACGCTACACTGTAAAAATAATGAAACCGGATTGAAACGGCGAATACACAGTGTAACGAAAGAAAAACCGAAAGAAAAACCAATTTCTCACTTTACACCAGCAGCTCTGCTGCACCGCCCTTTGCTTCTAGACGCCTAAGAGGAACACTTAAACAGGCCATGGCTCCACGGTATTTAAGCGCCTACAGTGCACAGGACGCAGGACCGCGTCTCATACTTGAGTTGAACAAAAGCATGTCCAAACAAAGCACTTTGCCACGATCAGTACGAGAAAAAGTGACAAAATGGAACCCCATATCATGGAGAATACATGACTAGCAATCATTTAGTACTAGAAGAACTAAAATCTTACATTGTTAATCGCATAGTGTATAAAACAACAGAGGTTGTCACGGAGGGTGGGGAATTGGGTAGGCAAACGAATTTGCTTCACGTATTTTCACGCGAAACAGCGAAAGTCAATTTGACAGTGCAAACGTGAAAATTACCTTGTAGCACTGAACTATTCAAGCATAGCGAGTGTCAGAAGATGTCCCTCTCTACCTCCAGAAAATTAGACATACAAGTGAGTCTCAGCAATCAAAGAGAGGGCAAGCAGCAGGATTTAGCCATTTCATGTCACCTGTCAAGCCCGCAAGACAGATAAAATGCTGCTATCTGTGCGTTTTCATTATGGAACAATCTGCGAGCCTTCTCTTCTAAGGAAGCAACGGTAGGCGACTTAATGGCTGCACAGCGCATAGTCTCCAATAATCATCCAACAAAGTTATACTTCCTAACCTACGTCAAAACATGCAAAGAGAGTGACCTTGATCGGCAGCTCAACTGTGATCTTGATTGTAGGCACTATGACTAAACTTTCCTTCTTTATGGCAGCTATTCCGCACAGAAATAGTCTTTTGTACGAACTCTGATTAAAAGGACGTTAAGACAAAACTCTTACTTCGTCAATCATAGCCTGAAGACTGTATCGTAACCCTCATATTTTAAGCAATGAATTCAAAGCAGGCACGCCAAATCTAACGCTGAGTACAATCCGAAATGCACTCATAAGTAAAGCTTTATTAACTCATCGCTCACCGCAGCAGGTGTCAGGATTCCTAAATCGGTAAACAACAAACTTATATATTCCGGCGGGGTGTAATCATTCAACGGGTGTTCACGGGATATGTCTTTTGTTTCGTCTTTTAGGACCGAAGCGAAATACTACATTAAACATAAAATTAAAACTGTCTGGTAATTTCTGATGTCATACTTTGAACTGGACAGGCATGTCTGATTGATTAAGCGGATAAACCCTGTAGAACTTGATACTTTCCGTCAAAACATATAGGGGCTTATTCTTTGCCTTCGCACAAATTGCCACGGTCAAAGTACCAATCTAGATACCGAACAAACAGATCTTCAATGAAACTGACCTTCTTTGCAACGTACCTTATTCACAATACCGCCGTTTTCGACCACTCCTTCAGCCCCAACAAAAACCATATCCATTTTTTCCATTATGTACCTAAACGAAGAGCAAGACCTCTATATTTATACATTGCATTCGTTCTTATACACACCCGACTGCTGCAAACAGGATCACGGTGCAGTTTATACCTTCCGCACGCAGCTGTTTCACGAATAACTCAAGGTCCTTTTTCGGCTCTGAATCCGTGAGGTATACCTCGCAGCGCTGGTTCTTTTTGGCAGCCATTATCAATGACATTAAGATAATGCTGTTTTGCCCATGTATGAGGATCTTCTGTAAGACTAAGACAGAGTTAAGTGCGAAATAAACAATACAGCGACGTAAAGAGAAGGTAATTCAGTACGAAATGGAACAACAAGCAAATTCATTTTTTTTGTTGTGGTAGAAAAGCGTGGAAGAAATTGAGACAACGGAAACTCTGCTGCACAGTGCTTTCTACCGAAAAAAATTCCCCACTGTTCGAAACACTTTCCTAATACAAGAAACCTGTTCAGCTCATGAACACCAATATAAAACTTGCTCTCTTTATGGCAGGTATTGCTAAACAGTAGAAATTATTCTTACTGAAAATTAACAATACAGAATGGGTAAATTATGAATAAGCTGTCCAGGGATTTATTATATGTATGTTAAAACTACTTAGAATTTTTTTTAAGTCATTGCTGATAATTCTCCTCTAAACTGGATCAACAGCACTCACCGTTTCGCCACGCATAAACGACTGGCTCAACAGCGCAATTTTCTCAGCGCTGGCGGAGATTTTACGCAAGAACTGCTGACCACGATGCCACAGTACCTTCTGACACTCGGAAAAGTTCTGGTCCTAACGAATAACAAAGTAAAAGTTCGTTTTATCTAAAAAGTTGCAGAATGTTTGTTTACAATGTAGCAATTGTTATTTCAAAGTAGTCTCATACCGCTGAGTTTTTTCATACGAGTTTTTCATTTATATTACTCACATACTTGATTAGTGAGGCATTACTGTTCAAAAACAAACCACCACAGTCATACTGACCATTTTAAATACTGCCTCAAAATTACAGTTTTCGCTTGGCTACTGCAGAGTATTGAGAACAGATTCACGCTATGTAAAAATAATAAGCTAGTTTATAATTCTTTGCAGACAAGTCCGCCAAATTTGCGACCTACTTGTAACCAAACGGCAACATGGCAGGCAGTAAACAAATCTTATCTAACAAATTACAAATTTTCCTTCTTTTCGATCCTGGCATATGGTACAGATGTGATGCTAAGACGTTCCGCAAAAAATGCGTCTTCACAAAACTCATATGGCACCTGGTGTTATATTATTGGTTTCCAAGTGCATATACATTAATAAGCATACAAAATCACGAGAGAAAAATGCTAGAACAGTTGAAAAGTGGCAGTTTTTGAGGCTGGCTAATCATTTGGCTCATTTTCTCAAGTTACTGTTACTGAAAACAGCATAAAACAATGATTATTTACACAAAACAATATTGTTAATCGGAGGATGCCAATACCAACGCTTCGGCCCGTGTCACATGGACTTTCTTC